AGAAAAAGTACTAAAGTGCAACAAAACTGGTTGTAGCACTGTCAAGAGCCAACTAGCGAGTTTATGCTAGGAGGACCCAATCATAGACAAAATGGGTCGTAATGGGACACCAACCTTATGGATTTTAGGTAACCCATATAAACGAGGTCGAATAGACTCAACTCAGAAATTTCAGAAGAGAGTAAACCACTCTTGACCCACTTAAGCAATTGTCTTTGAAACTTAGTTTCAATAGAAGCAGTACAATCATGGGTCTCAACTGGACCTAAATTTTAAGAATTTAGATCTATCATCAAGTATATCGTACATCTTTAAGACGTAATCCGAATAGTCCAGTAAAACAACACCAGCACCTTTATCCGGTTTAGTAATAACCAGGTTATAGTTATTTTTTAAACTTTTAATTACCCGGCAGTGCTGTTCTCTCCATTTGGACTCTGATAAAGAAACAGGAGAACTAGCAAAAGAATGAGCATAACTGTTAAGTTTATCTTTAAGGTCACTAAGGGACTTGGCAGAGCGATGCGCAAATCTATGAACCCGTGCAAATAAAACTTCAAACTCTGAAAAGATTTTCTCACGGTCGGGCATCGAAAAAAGGAATCCAAATATCCAAACCCTGAGCCAAAACAAGAGTCTCTAACTGGGAAGGTCCTATGAGGAAAAATTAAAGGTAATTCCCTCTCCAGTAGGTTCATCAATACATTGATTTTTTTTTTATTTACCAGAATAAAACTTGATAAGACTGGGACGAAACCGGTTATTTTTAGCTATTAAATTTACACTGATATGCCTTTTAAATTACGCTTATTCCTTGCTCTTATATATATATATATGTGTGTGTGTGTGTGTTTATGCATGTATGTCTGTATCGTAATTTTTAAGCAGTTAATATTTTTAAGTCGTATATTATTTCTTATTACTGTGAACGCTATATTTGAAGGGAACGCGCGTTTGACTATCTCATATAAATAAATAGTGAAATTAATTGTACTGGTCTAGAAATCGAGAAAAGTGCTACTAAAAATATTCTTTCGACAAGTATCGAACCTGTATTTTCTTTTTCAATCAGGGAAACCACTTATAAGGCAGCTACAGGGTGATTGAAAAATAACTCCCTATTTTATGTATGATGGACTCTCCCGTCTAAATATAATTTTTACAAGACCCGTCCATCATACATAAAATTGGGAGTTACTTTTCACTCAAAAAATGAAAAAAAGGTTCAGTTATGCTATTTAGGAATTGTCTGTTTTTTATTTGAAATTCTAGATTTTTTATTTTTTTCGTAAATAAATTAATTTATAAGCAATTAATGTATTTTTAACTGATTATATCTCATTACAATAAAAACAGGGATATTTTCTCAAATATTTGTTCTCATTAAATATAACATTTAGAATAATAAGAAATAATACTGGGTTAAAAAATCTGTTAATTGTTTATAAATTTATTTCCGTCTCAAGTACGGAAAGAAATTTAACAGATATAAACATGTGTATTTCTTAAAGATAATTAAGCCCAACATTTTCATGGTAACTTTTCGGAGCCTAATTGGTGAGACCGTAACTGTGAGTTCCTTGGTTGACAAAAGAATAAATGTTACATTTCCTTTAGTAAAACATCTCGTTATCTACGCATTAACAGGTATTAATTTAAATAAAAAAGGGAATGTCTAGTTAAACGCGTGTAATCACAAAATATAAACTTTTTAACTTACTTACAATATAAGACTGTGTTATTTTTATCACAACGTTTCGGCAGTTGTGCTTTCCGGGCTTCTTCAGGTGTATATCGATCTAGGCAGCCTACGGAGAAATCCAAACTGAACCCTTTATTTAACTACTCATGTCTAATTCATATCTTTATTTATTACTGTTTAGTCATTTGTCGCCCGTTACCACTGAGTACCGGATTGAACTCAAAACCACTACCATCAAATTCACTAACCAAAGCTTTTACCCACTAGGCCACTGTCCTGCTGGATCAACATAGAGGAGGACAATAGTCTGAATATAAATTGTGAAAATAATGATAACTCCTCATCCCAGAAATTCAGACAAAACTTTTAAATTAAAATAACTGAATTTATAAACTTATCCACTATGTAAATTATTTTTCTTTTAAGAGTAATTTAGTAAAAAATTTATTATTTGTGATTAATATTTGATTAGGATCACGCTTTCTCTTTGAGATTTTAAAATTTTTTTTATTAAATTCAGTTTTACTATTCATAAGTTCAGTTCTTAATTTGCAGTTTGTCAAAGTGTATTCCGATTCTCTTCAATTATTAAAAGATAAATTCTGAGGAAAATAGAAATAATCATTTTTTAGCTAATTCATTTGAGATTAATAGGAATATCGATTAAGATTGGGACGAGACATTGTGTACAGTATTTTTTTGCTTACAGCCTTCTCTCTAGATACATATAATTAAAAATATCGAAGAATGTCGTTAATTTTTATATTATAAATCATTGAGAAACTTATGACAAAAAGTAAGATTATTTCTTATTCAACTATATTTAGCCATTATGCTGGTTGGTAATAAGAATTTCAATTTTGTATCTTCTGAAAGTTTGTTTTAAAATGGTAAAATTATAACTTGCAGGGTCCGTTGAAAAAAGTCTAGTTTAGGAATAAAAAACGAAATATTTCATTTATTTTAGTACATAACATTTTCTAAACTATTTTTGGATTCATTAACTTTATCTTTAATTATTTCTAATTTTCCAGTTTTCCCTGAAGACAATATTTTGTAATGACTTCATTAATAATTTAATTTATAATGTCGTATTGGGTTGTGTCAAAGGAGATTTTACTGTTATAATTGAGCATAATAAAACTCCATTATGAGTATCTTGTATACTTGATATTTCTATGGATAAAATTCCTCTATGTAAATACTGAAAGTATCAAGCAACCGAATCACTGTAAATAGGTATAAATAATGGGTATGGGTAATGGGTAATACAGGGTCATTGTAATTTAGGGAGTGTGCACACCTTGTAAGTCAGTAGTTAGGTAAGTACAAGCGAGCGCAATAATATAAAAAAGGTCTCAATCAAAAAAATTTGTGTTCTTCAATTATTTTATAAAAACTATACATTTTGTCTGAATTTCTGAGATAAAGAATTACCATTATTAAACATTGGTTTATCCGAACTGATGGTCTCATTGTTACGGTTGTTTTATTCTCCTGCCTTTGTCAGGTGTTTACCGTATTTGGTAAAATTCTGGGAATTAAAAACCAAACACTTTATTCTATCCATTCGTGTAGATCATTCTGATTCATAGATGATGTGAAATAATAAAAAAAATCCCTTTTAAATCATAATCAGAAAGTCTTCAGAAAATCAGTTGTTCATACAAGATCACAAACAGTTCCAACTTTTGAAAACACGTCATCATGAGAACATGACCAAGAACTGCGTGTATAGCATTCTATGCAGGTGTGACAGGGAATATTAAGACTATACTAGCTACCATCTAAAAATATATTTTGAAGATATCGAAAAGCCTTAATCTATTGAAATTTGTGTAGGGCCACCAAAGCCTGCAGAATGAAGTTTGTATAATAGCTAGCAAACAACATTCAATGATCAACACATGTGCAAGGTTCTGATAAACTCGGTATGCCGTTCGATTAGAAAAGAGCTGCAAATGACCGAGTGGATATACGCGTTGGTTAATTGTATGGACTTTAGCTGAATAGGCTGTGAAAGTCATGCACTCTGCTTTAGTGAAAGAGCAGAAGTGATATTACCAGGACGAATTAACTAATATGAATTATCTCCCATTACGAAATGGTAACGTGAGAGTAGTTTACACCTGTGTAATAAGTAAAGGGTTCAATTTGAAATTTCTCAAACTTTACCAAATACGACAGACACCTTTAAGAAGGTCGAAGGACACAATAGATAAAATGTTGTGACTATAACATAACACTTCGAATAAATCAATTTAATAAATTTTTATATAATTTATATATATATATATATATATATATATATATATATAGCTTTGGATCATTTCTGTGTCCTTTTCTGGATTATAAATAATGGTAGATGTTTATATAGAATGAATTAACCTTGTCACGTGTACATTCACACACGAAGGACACTCCTTCAAGTATTATTAAAACACACATTAATATTTGATTTACACCTTGCCACATAAACACTGATAGGCAACTCTAGCTTTGGAGCAACGAAACTTGATCCGAGAGCAAACGTTGCTCAATTGAATATATTTTTTACGGCTCATAAACATTATTTTGATTACAAAACCTGATAAGAATAACATTTTCTTGAGTTAACACGAGGAGAAGAGCAAGTTCCATAGCTAGCGGGGGAAAATCAAGAATGGATTTATACTAAGGATCTGAAATTGACTTTTAAGTGTTGAAGAATGTGAATGTCTAATAGAATTACTGGAATATTGCTTTCTAAACGCGACATGAGTTCTGTTAAATATTTGTTGCTGTACAAATCAAAGTTAATGCTCAATTTAAATACCAAATATAATCGCAAGTACGTCCAGTAATTGTATTTTGATGCTACACAATCTTCTGACATATTGCCCAAGTCCCTAAATGGATTGATGTAATTTAGAAAATTGCAAATCTTTCACATTTAGTGTGCTTGAAGTCCAGAGGTATAAACAGACAGAGAAGACATTTATGCATGCAGAGGGTGGGGGCATTAAGCTGACCTTGTGTCAAATTTGCCCTGGTATGGAGGCGGATAAATAACGAAATAACTACGTTGAAATTTAGCAAACAAGAGGCCTTATAGAGACGGACAGTAAAGGCGTCTAAAATGCTGATAACTGGTGAAGAGAAAAAAAAAAGGAAGACGGAGTTGCATTTGAGTTCTATAAAGTTTAAAAGGAAAGGTTATGTCTAATTCGAGGATATTCCAAGCAGCATCCTTTCATATACACTAGCGTTTATTATAAGCATGAATGAGTTTACTATTTTGAATATTTTGTAAAACAATTTATGGTTTTAAACAAGTAACAAGTAACAGATAAAGTATATAGATAGATAGATAGATAGATAGATAGATAGATAGATAGATAGATAGATAGATAGATAGATATTGTGGGTGAGTGTACGGAGTAGAAAGAGAACGAGCTAGTATGTATGTATGTGTGAGAGAGACAGAGTGAGCGAGGGTGTATGTGTTTGCATGAAAGTGAGGAATATACTGAATTATACACAAATAGACACTGAGAAGGAAGTGGAGGCATTTTTCTGATGATCGATAATCGAAATCACACACACACATATATACATAAATACATACATACATACATACATATATATGAGAGAGAGAGAGAGAGAGAAAGAAAGAAAGAAAGAAAGAAAGAAAGAAAGAAAGAAAGAAAGAAAGAAAAATGGATTAAAAAATATATCATTTTTTTTATTCATGCTGATAACACAACTCTGAGTTTCATGTACAACGCAATCTTCAGGTGCTGATTGAAAATTGACCAATCAGCACCAGATGATTGCGTTGTGCATGAAAATTAAGAGTCGGGCTAACGGTGAGGAAAAAAGATATACAATCATCCTAGTTTTGTGTTGTTTCTTTTTTTTTCAATTATTACACTTTTTTTTTATTGGCATTGTATATGGAATAATTAGGATAATGTAGTGGTTTAAAGCTATGCACAGTTTATTATCTAAAAGCAACATAACTAATGAAATTCAAATATAATACGGTAATCTTTATTTCCCTCTTTCTCTCTCTCTTCTCTCTCTCATATATATATATATATATATATATATATATATATATGTATACGTGTGTGTGTGTAAAAACTGAATATGACAGAAAGAAATAATTTATTTATTTTAGGGGTAGTTTCATGTTGTAAATTGAAACGAATGCTTGGTTCAAGATTATACAGAAATTGTTCATAGTTCTTATCGTCGCTTCTAGAGTTTCTACTATTATGTGGTCTTTGTCAGGAACAAAACACAATAGATAATGATAAACCGAAACTGACATCATATTGATGTTTATGTTAAAGGACGTTATGTTTTTAGGAATTTTATATCAGAAAACGATACTGAAAAGTTTTCAGGACAACTAAGTAACATTTCCTCTCAAATATTTGATATTTGGTCACTAGGCAATTTTTGATTTATATATATATATATATATATATATATATATATATATATGTATATATATGTATATATTTTATATATATATATATATATATATATATATATATATATATATATATTATATATATATGCACGTATGTATGTATGTATGTATATATATCGTAATCCCGAGTGTATAAAACGCAGCTTTTACGGTATATGTTTAAAATGTTATATAGTTATACTTACGTGCGCGCACGTTTAATATGTAACATTTTAAGCATATACCATAATCCCGTGTGTATAAGACGCATTTTTCTTATCCAAAATTGAGTTCAAACGTCTGCTGCGTCTTATACTTTAGCATGAATGACTATTTCGTAATGATTATGATTCACAAAAGTAAACAAAATGTCCCGATTTTTAAATTTTTTTCTCTTCCTTTTTCACAAATTTTGTTCATTTTCTTTAACTCTAAAATCAGATGCGTTTTATACATGAAAATAAGCTTTTTCCCTTGGAATTTCTCCGCTTTTTTAAATGCGTCTTATACTCCCCAGCGATCTATACACAAAGAATTATGGTATATAGTACTGCGTGTGTTTGTCATTTTCATATTAATTCTTGTTCTTTATAGTAAACCAAACAAAATTGAAAAGCAGAAATTTTACAGGAAAATTAGATATATATTAACAACCTTGTTATTACGCAATTTGAAATGTTTGTATCAAGAGTATGTGAATTATTTAGTGAATTCCACGCTTAGTCTGCTAGTTGACTCAATAATTGAGTGACTTTTACAATTTATCCAACTGCTCACCAATTGCATCGTTATTTACTGTACTGAATTTCTCACTGAAGAAGAAAATAAAAAGGGAATTACAAGATAACATGTACTTCTTCGTTTCTGGACCAACGATCTGATATTATTTTCCCGGCGTTATTTAATACAACTTGTCATTACATAGATACCTGCTCACGTCACATTATTTGGCCCAAGGCGTTATTTAGGTACCAACAATTGAAGACTATTTTCATTATATCTGTCTTATGAGAACATCTCGTTATGTATAGAACTACTCTAAAGTGTTTCCCCATGATACATCCCAACTGTTCTAAACTTTACCATTAAACATAAAAATAAATGAATAAAACTCTGTGATAAAAGGTTGGATTTACATACGAACAAAATTAAAATTGGCTTCAGTTTCGTTTGTAAATGCAGGTTCAGTCAAAAGAATTGACCACTGTTCCCCACGTGACTTTCAACACTATGTGATGTTTTCATAAAAAAAAATAAATAAATAACGAGGTGAAAACAACATTTTTAATATGCCACATACTTTCAAGATATAGGCGATAGTGACTCTTCAGAGCTTCCTTTCCTTTATTACTTGTAAATTGCTATACCTTCTTGAGAAAAATAGTGGAATGGTTTAACGTTACCTTCTCCATGCCTTAAAATTCAGATATTTTTTTCTCTTAGACTAGTTGATACTCAAGGCTACAGAGTTCAGTCTACCCTTCTATTTAATATTTTATAACTGGAGCGGGGGAAAATAGATGGATTCGTGCCTTTGTCAGGGGATTTAGTGCGAAAGGGAATGCAACCAGCTAGACTGGAATTTGAATTCGTCTCATCGATGCCTGCTAATCTATCTACGCATTCGTATTACTAAAATTATTTTTCTTGACTTTTCGTGTAATATTGTGAGTAAATAACGATTGATAACCTTAAAACTTAGTTTTTAGTTTTAACCTTAAAAAATAGTTTTTTTTATGCTTGTGCATTATAAATTAGTTTACTGCCAACAATTTCCCACGTTTATACTCAATTAAAACTGATTAACGAGAAATGACATCTATGCGGAAAACAACTTCAGCAAAAAATAAACATAAAATAATTAATTCTATATGAAATTAAATTCTGTTTTCTTATATTTCACGTCTATACTTAGAAATAAAAAAATAGAGAAAATTACAATAAAAATTGTTTGTAAACAATTTAGCGAATCACAGATATTATTTTGTTTGCTGAAGTGGTTTACTCATTTTGAAAAACAGTATCAAAAGATTTTACCAATTATTTCATCAATAATTAAGTTTATTTCTTGTAAAAAATTGCTATGGTATTATCTGTTTTATGCATATGTGATTGGCCCTGATCTGACATCTTGTCTACAGTTGCTCTCTCACAGACGTACCATTGCCTCCCTCTGTCTTTTCTACAGATACTTTCATGGTAAATGCTCCGACGAGCTACTTTCACTGGTTCCCAGACTGCATGAATTTAAACGTGCTACTAGGTTGGCATCTCAGTCCAACGCTTTCACTGTCGAAACGGTTAAATATGGCCGTCTCTTCTACTCCATTAACTTAATCTCTCGCACTTCCCATCTGTGGAATTCCCTTTCTATTACTTGTTTCCCTGATAGCTATAATCTCCAACTATTCAAATGTAATGTCAATGGACATCTCCAGATGCCTTGATCTAATTCCCTGTCCTTCTCTTCATCATTCTCCTCTTTCACACCTCTTTACTCTTACTCCCACTCTCTGTAACCCATTCCGTGCTAATTCTTTCTACCGGATTTTTTCGTATGTTTCTATATGTTTTTTAACAGAAAATGATTTACTTTTTGGTTCTTGTCTTCAAACAAAATATATTTCTGCTGAGAATTTTCTCATCATAAAATAGGATATTAATTTTTTAATCTTAAATTATTTCTAAAACATTAAATCACCTGGTGAGGCTATTTAACTATTTAAATGTCATACGCAATTTTGTTTGTTTTGACATCCATACTATGGTGCAGAAAAAAAGGTTATTACGAATTGTTATCAGTCATCACTGGTAATTTGTCATACCTATCAATAACTACTCCTATTTAGAGATAACGCACCTACTGCATGTTAATCTTTTTCTGGTTTAACAACTCAAAAACGCACTCCTTCAGAATCACACACACACACACACACACACACACACACACACACACACACACACACACACACACACACACTGCATAAACAAATCTTAATAGTATTTTAAGCTAAGAGTAAAGATTTTTTTCCAAAGTTCAGTTGAGCAATCATTACGTTAACCAATATACGTATATTTTTATTTTTTTTATTTTTGAGTGAAACTTTATAGTAAAAAATTATTTGTACCACTTACATTGTTCGAACTATTGTCTTCATCTTTGTTGCCATATTCACGACATTTCGGCCGTTGTACGTCTCGAGTTTCTTCATGCAATTAGAATTTCGAACCAAACCCTTTATTTCGTGGATAAAAGAGTTGGTTGAATTAATCCAGTGACTTGAATCAAAGATTTATGAGTTCAATACCTGACCAGAGCAGAGGTGAACTAAAAATTTGGAGAGTTGAGTTAAAGGGAAATGACTGATATTGAGATATCCGGAAGAGGCATGTCACGTGGAACTAGAACAATCTGCCCCGGGGGACGAAATAAAAGGTTCAGTTCGAAATTCCAATCAGCTGAAGAAGGCCGGAACGTACAAGGACCGAAACGTCGTGAATTTGGCAACAAAGATGAGGACAACAGTTCGAACAATGTAAATAGTGTAAATAATTACAGTACCTCATCTCGGAAATATAGACAGATAAAAAAACTTTTTGCAATTTTTTCATTACAAGGTTTAAGAAACGTGATAAGCAACAATGACCTAACTGATATTTAACTTATATAACAGTCAAATCCTTGTTTCAAATAAATAAAACAAAACATTTAAAATAAATATCAAATTATCATTTCCCAACAAATAAAAAAAAATCAAGCGTCAGTATGTTTTTTGTTAAGTGAGAAATGAGTCAGTGTCATTCATTTTGCACAGCCAATTTTTCAGTTGTATTTGGTGATCAATATAAATGGTTTGAGATAAGCTGACTGCAGTAATTCCTGGTTAGTCGTTGTTCAGAAGAGGTTTTTTCCTCTGTCTACATTGCACGACTTCTCCTTAGAGGAGAGTGTGTCAAGGGCATTTAAAACTTAACAACTATAGAATTACAACAAAAGGTTGCTGTCATTAATCTACAGATAGAAGGAAACATGGTTGAGTAAATCTGATGAGTGGTGTGATCTTGATTTCATTTGCAGATGTCAAAACAGTTGCTTAAGACATGTAAACTGAAACCTCATGTTACTAAGTCAAATAAGCTATCCTTTTATTTATTTATGTTGGCATCCCAGATTTTATAAGTACCACAATATTCTGACAGCTTTCCCTGATTATTTTAAAAATAATTCTAAATTGTTCTTCAGGACTTGACTATTCAACATCTAGGTCGGAAGCAAATCGTTACCGTTTAAACCACCTGTGGCGTCTTTTTACTTTTATTTATATATTATAACACTACAATACTAGTTAGGGGATATATGGTATTTCATTCATGAATTTTGCATTGATTCTGAATAGCTAATCTCCATACGGATATTCTAGACATTTGGATATGTTGACTTTTTTTGTAAGGTTTTGCACACACACACACACACACACACACACATATATATATATATATATATAAATCTATATATATATATGAGAGAGAGAGAGAAGGAGAGAAAGAGAGAGAGAGAGAGACAGTGAGAGATCAGTATGTTCTTTGTTTAGTGATTCGAAAAGTCATCTCTTTTGTACGATATTTAAAAAAAAATTTAACATAATTGTTACTGCATTTAATCCCGTTCTTCTTCATAAATCACATAGATTGAACATTATATAGTGGAATTTTCAGGTCAAAATTCAGCTAATAATTATATGCCAGGCTTATGGGTCCATCCTCGTATATATTATTTTTATAATAAACGAGACTCATCAACTATTTCGATTAGTTATTACAAAACAGCTGCTTACTAGGAGTGTTTGCGTATATTATTTTGAAAGAGAATTGAAAAAAAAAAGACGAGACTGGATGTATGCTTCAAGATGTCATAGTCATTGTTTGTATGATTTGTATGAGTGTAACTGAAAAGAATGAAGCTAATCTTGTTGAATCTGATACCATGAAGCAATATTTTATGGTTTAACAATCAAACACAGAGAATTGACATATTCACATTAGAACATCGGACGGTTTGGAAGAAAAATCAATCTTACCTTCAATACAATCAATTTACCCTGAAATATCCTGAGGAAATGTTCTGGTTCTTGTCCTTGAGTGACACGAATCTGTAAATAGCAATAAACACAATTAGAAGGACATTTTAATAAATATTTCCTTCTCTTAAACTGGCTACCACTCAAGACAGTGTTGTTATTCTCGTAAAGTTATTGTCACTATCAACATGTAGATACGTATGCTGTTAGCGACAATAACTTTACGAGAATAACAACACTTGTATGGGAGAAATACGTGTATGTAAACTTGTTCAGCATCGCCCTCATCATGTCTATTTTGTTATTATTAAAAGAACTAAAGTTTTGAAAATACAAGCAGCTGGTTATAACATTATTAGAGCGATAAAGTCTTGTAATCGTATTAAAATTATTTTCTTCTTCTGTGGATGCAATTCATATAAACTAATACAAAAATAAATCTTTAATGGGTGTGCAGGTAGTATATTGGTTATCAGCACAGAAAGTGGAATCGGCGAACTGAGTTCTAATTCCAGTGTAGTCTGTTAGTTTCACTTTCGCACTAATGCTCTTAGGAAAGGCATGAATTCCTTTATTTCACAAACTATGGGTTAAATAGAAGAGTAAACGCTTGAGTGGTAGCTATTTTAAGAGAAGGAAAGCGGTGAATTCCAAACCTCGTAGAATGAACAAACTCCCATTATATTTCCTAAGAAATCATAGCAATTTTGGAAACATAATCTGAAAAGCCGTGATTGCCTATGTCTTGAAGTGACATGATATTCAAAAAAAATATTTTATTTATGTCCAAGGCATCTTAAATATTCTGCAATTATAACCAAAAAATGACTAAAGTAGTTCAATAAAAAAATCAGTAAATTAAACTATCTTTATAAAGAATTAATTATAGAATAAAATTGTATAAGAATATGGCCTTTTCTTTTGGCTAAGATAATTGTTTTTCTTACTACCACAAATGTCCTTCAATATCTGGTTATTGCAGTGCTGAACAAAAACTTGGAGAGTTGAATTAAAGAGAGATAACTGAGACATCTGGAAGAGGTATGGCAAGTGGAACTAGAACAATCTATCCCGGTAGACGAAATAAAGGATTCAATTCGAAATTCCAATCACTTGAAGAAGGTCGGAGCGTACAAGGGTCGAAACGTTGTGAATATGGCAATAAAACTGAGGACAACAGTCTGAACAATGTAAATAATGTAAACAAATGTCCTTATTTGTAGATGAGCGAAGTAAAGCTGAATACTACGTGAGCTGTGCAAAATTATCAGCATGAAATTTGGATTATTCACTTGATCTTTATTAGCAAAACCTATAGATATTTTGCTTCAATCAGAAAAAGTACGCATTAGAATGTAATTCTTTACGTTATTCCAGTACTTTTAACATTAATAAATAATGTTACGGATTTGAATACACAAACATTAATTTGTTTATTTTCAACATCGCAAACCAGATGAATAACCAGATGTGTTTCATCACAGGAACTACAAGCATTGGAATTGGATTTCAATTATTGTGGCAACACTGACAAATACAAGCGTCTTGATATTATTCTGTCGTTCAGGCGCTTAATGTAACCAACGGATACTGAATTCATTTCCTTTTTCTGACTTTGACTACACACCAACCAGTTAGTTTGGTTGTTTTTGTTTAGCGGCATATCAACACCTCTGTGGGTTATTTAATGCCGAAATCTAAATATTTTTTTACAGAGTTTTATTTTTGGAGATGATAATGGTTTAATGATACAAGTCTTACTAATTAACCTATAGCTGGGGAGGAAGAGGTGGATTCATATCTTTTCCAGGAGTATTTGCGCTTAAGTGATTCTAACGAACCTAACTGGAATTGGAACTCGGCTCTCCGATTAATAATTACGAGTTATTATCCGTTACACCACCCACAAGTCCAAGCTTAGAGCACCCAGTATTTCCAAATGGTCACCTCTCTAGGTACTGACCAGACTCAACATTGCTTAACTTCGGTGATCGTACGGGAACCGGTGTTTAAACGTGATGTAGCCGTAAGCCAAAGAACACAGGAGTAGTATCTATAATTTGAGGATAAGTAGTGAGCATTTTCGACAGGAGAATGAGGAAATGAATGATATGTCATAAAGTCTTACATCTCAGAAATGACAATGATAAACTTTATGTGAAAAGAAAGGTGGGGGTGATTCGTCAACATTGAAGACTGTGTCGAGGTCTTGACTATCAAAAGATTAGCGCGGTGAGGCATTGGTTATGATAAACATTGGATGATAAGAGTAAAAAAAAGGAAAAAAGAAAACAAGGAGATTTAGGGAGACAAAAAATAAGAAATTGCATGATATGACCGTGATTGCGCAGAGGACAATTGAATTACGAAACAGAATCATTATCAGTAACTATCCAGAACAAGTGTATTAGACCTAACTATATTTATGCTAAAAAGGAAAAGTAGAATAGTAAACGACGCTTATGCTGAAGCAAAGATGGGATTTTGACAGTCACAATAAGCAATAACTGAAAGCAGCTAGGGAGAAAAACACACACACACACATAACTGGGTAGAACGGTGTTATCCCGGAAATAACGTTCTTGTTACTCCTGATGAAAATCGAGAAAGAATCGAATCTATTCTGAAAACCACATTGTGAAGCTACAGAGGAGTGTTGAAGAGAGAGAGAGAGAGAGAGAGAGAGAGAGAGAGAGAGAGAGAGAGAGAGACAGAGAGACAGAGAGACAGAGAGACAGAGAGAGAGGCAGACAGACAGACTGAGACACAGAGAGAGAGAGAGAGAGAGAGAGAGATGGGAAGGAAAGAAAATCTATTTTTGCAGGTGCTGCTTAATAATATTCTTTCCTCTTAGTTGTGAATAATTCAGATCAAAGAGCTCTAATGGTATAAAAAGTGTATTATCTTAATAGTTTATTCTCTTTAAATATCAGGCAAGATTTAACCTCGCTTCTAAAAGGTGTCCTATCAATAAATAATCAAAATAATGTCAACTAATGAATTATGGGTAAAATTTCATTATTAGTTTCTATGTCATTAAGATTACAATCACATGAACGTAAAATTTTATTTAGAAATGAGACAAAAATCAACATGAATACAATTTTTTTCAAAATTTTTTCAATTTTTTTTTGAGTAAATATTTATACCATTTAGATTGAAAAATAGACTTGTTGTTTCGAGAGAAAATTGTCTGTTACCAAAATATCTAAGACGAAAACGAAGTTTCTGATACGGAACATCAAACCTGCCAACAGCCAAGTGGGTTTCATCCAAAACTCACAATAAACAACAGAATTTGTTTATATATTTAGCGTGGTTTCTCCTCTCAAAGCAGTCTTTAATACACGCATCAAACTTGAGAGAAGAATTCATTTCTCACTAAGTACATTAAAATGTGGCTTAAATTAATTCCGAAAGCTAAAAATTGCTAAATTTACTCTGATCTAACAACAGTTTGATTTCACGAAAAACAAAACAATAAAATTAAATGTCATTATTAAAAGAATACATAGTTTTTTCATTTTCTACTACCATTTGAAACTGTTCCATATTTCTTCTACTGTGCTTCATCCGAATTTAACGAAATTCATAATGGTTTGAAAACGTATTTTAATCCAGACAATATCAAGTAAGCTTGCTAGCTTGGAAAAGTTGTCAGTTATAAAGAATACTATGATTACTGTTCCTAATATGAACAAATTCATTTACAACAGAGAATGACACAATTGTTTTATGACAAAGCAGTCGGTGTACAAAATCAACAGCGTGAACCACAAGACTGCGCTCAACTTTCTTAACAATCAGAGGACTATTGCTTGTCTCGACAGGACTCTCCTTAAATCCTGGCCTATTGACCCAGGCTTTCGTAACATTTTCCCACATTGTTCCTCCTGTGTCAATATACTTTACTCTGGAGCGTCCAATCAGTTCGGCGGATGACCTCAAAGTCTCCGCCCTTAACCAGATCCCTGAGTTACAAAAGTCAAACTGTCCTTAAAATGCTGTCATTTCTGATGAATAAAACCATGGCGATATTCTACATAACAACTTTGTCTTTTATTTCATAAGAAATTCAACTTTTATTTATTAGATACTCATATATATATATATATATATATATATAACGAAGCCAGATTTGAGTTATTAATATAATTTGTATTATAATTTACTGAAATATACAACTTTCATTTTTCTCAGGACTGAAAGGAGAATTTACCAACATTTTACATTTATTGCACAGATACATGGAATACAGATTAATTGGAAAAAATGATTTTTTATTTTGACCATAAATTTAGTTTCCTTTTCTTAGCTGAATTTGAAGTGACGACTTTAACAAATGAAGTATTTCATGTAGAACTTCAAATAAATTAATTTGCAATCCTTTTCACTGAAACAAAACTTGCATTAAAGAATCAATAAATCAAAAATTAGAATTCCTGTGTTTTATTTGTATTTTGTATTTCAATTTTTGAGATGATGAAGTCTTAATATGCTTTAATTGTTCAGTAGGAATGGACATTAATTGGCGTCACAGGGATAAAATAACACAATAATCAACAGATATCTCATTTCAGCCCCCCAAAATGGACACTTAGTGATGGCCAGATGATATTTTGACCGAAATATTGGGTCTATAATAACATCTAGAACAACCAAAATAAAGACCTGTTAGGGTCTCAGCTACGAGCAAATAATGAACCTTTAAACTGAGGTCAAAACGCTATGAAAGTATAAAAAACAGATTTTTATAGTAAAAATACCAGCAATACATTTTAGGTAAAAAAAAAATAACAGCATTACATTTTTGAAAAAAGTATTACCAGCAATACATTTAACTCTTGACAAAAAAAAAAAAAAACGCTATTTATCAATGAAACCTGAGCTACAATCTGATTTCCTACAAAGAATTCATTCATATGAACCTACCCTAAAAATCTTGTCAGCATTAAATAACTCATTGAGGTTGTTATACAAATAATACATTAAGGTTGTAAAACAAAATAAACCAAGATGAAGACAATAATTCGAAATGATTAAAAGCCTATAAGAATTCTTATGTTTTTATATAAAGTACAAATCCTTTTCTCCAAGTGTTTGATTAAACAAAATTATTATTCTGTTTATTTATTTCTTAATTCAGTGAAATAGAAAAATAAAATGAAACCGGTTTTCTAGGGTCTGGGGTTATCCAAAAGATAATTGTAATTAGCTTCAGTCGATATCATCATATCATCAATAATTTTGAGTGCTGTAAATATTAGCTATATTATTTGTAAATATTGCAAAAAAATGAATGTACTATTTGCCATTCCGGAACTGAAAGACAAAATTATTTACTTGAACTTGAATATTAATAAACAAAATGTAATCTTGTTACTGTTTTGTTCATTGAAAAAATACAGTTAAAGATAGAAGATAATATTGCATATATCATGTGACCTTTCAAAAAGAGTGATTAATCAAAGATAAAAATATTAAAAAAAAATATACGTGGGTTTTACAAGTTCCATTATTTTCATTAAAATTAAATATTTTTATTTTTTTAAAATTTAGGTTTGAAAAGCAGATAAAAAAAATCAATGACAAATACTATTCAATAGAGAACAAAAATATGTTTGTCTGATTTTGAAATAAGGAACTGCCATGATTCCCAGAACAGTAAGAACTCGATGTGTAAGCCATTATCGATCGATTTGATATTTGATTAAAACCTCCAAAAATATACAACCTGTTATCTTTCGGGACGGTGGCCTCGTTGATATAAGTCGTGATATATGGTCATGCACCTAATTTCATTTTATATCAATCTCGGATTGAGGAATCGGAGAGCCGAGTTCGAATTCCAGTCAAATACATTACATTCACTTACGTGCTAGTACCCTTGGGAAAGATATGAATTCTCTTCTTCTCTCCCCAGCTATGGGTAAATAGCAGGACAGACCAGGTTCTATGGTCTTGGATGGCAACTGGTCTACCGCAGAAAGAAATGGCAACCTAACCTGCGAGAAAAAATCTGCTTCGTCAGTCATGTATCGAAAGATACAGGATCGCCTAAGCGTGTATCACAATAACAGGTTGTTGTGGATTCCGTGAGTGGAATCCTGCACAAATAAATAAACAACGCCAGTAACTGAGATAGAAAAATAAGTGTATTAAACGTAAGAATACAGACTTGGAGTGAAGATTAGTAGTCCAGGAATGCGGGTTAGTAGAAAGTATATGTACAAGTCTCTGTAAGTAAAGCCGTAATCATCTCTCTCTCTGGACTCTTGTATAACTCTCTGAGAACACCCCGTGTCTGTCTCCGTATCTCTCAACCTGTCTCAACGTATCTCCACGTATCTCAACGTATCTCCACAGCAGGTATTCTCTCTATCAGTATAAGTATACTTTGGACAAGTCCATCTTATGTAAAAAGGGGAGAGCCCCACAACACAGGTAAATCCACTCTTACAAAATATCCCTTTTCCTATTGTTACTTTCTTCTCTTATAGCAAAGTAAAGAAATTAATAATTGAAAATCAATAATTATTGAACAACCTTTTAAATACTTTATTAAAAAAAAATGTTTAAATTAATATATAAACAATTTTTTTAATTACTTGCTAGTTCAGAGCTTTTGGAAGAGAAATGTTTCTGTTTGAACTTCGTAAGATAGATTCGAGACTGCTTAATAAATTTATATTGGTTTCTGCAGCTGGAGAATAAGGACTGGAGAGGCCTGAAGTAATTGTCAATTAGGTTCTTTATTAAATTAGAAATATTTGGGAGAAGTAATTGATGTCATAATTGACTGAGATAGGAAATGTAAAGAGCTATGCGTATTTTTCTTAAGACTTTAATTGTAGTTGATTGCTAGGGAAAATTAAATAGCTTGAGGATATAAAACTTTAGATGTAGATTCTCGGAAATAGTGCAAAAGAAAGAAAGAACGGCACAAAATGATCATTCAAGAAAGATTAAAATGCTTCTTACCTGTACTGCTTTCCCACTGACTTCATTTTCATCCACCATTTGAGCAAACATGGCGCTTGCCGCTATGTCATCTTTGCTTCCATGTTTTCCCTGGGGAAAATTATAAAGTAGTTGACTATACTATTTGTTTATTATCGCATTTGTTTTTAAGACAATTTTATCTTTTTATTAATCGTTTATATAGATTGTATAATAATTAATATAAAACTGATTAATATTTCATTTCCTTGGAAGTCAAAATTGGTTTCTGTTTCGAAATTATAAAATTATTCTTTATAATGAAAATCATTATATTATGTTGAAAAATAAAAAAAGACACAATTAGCTCAAGTTAAAATTTGACGATTGTGATCATTAGATATTTAGCAAAGAAACGTTTTAAGATTATGATTTTTTAATATAAAGAATTAAATATTATGAACTATAAATGTTTACTTTATATTTTAAACGTTGATATTTTGTCAAATTGTTATGCTTTGAACCTATGTTAAAATTTGAACTGATCCAGTCTTTCTTGTCAAATCGTGAAATGAACGTTATCCTGAATGGTCACTCTTCCAGATCTTTTTGTACTAATGCAGGTGTCCCCTAAAGCTCTATCCTTGGTCCTACTTTGTTTTGAATTTTCATTAATGAACTCCCCGATAGCATCAGGTTAAAATATTGCTGCCTGCCACATAACATGGCCTTGGTATCTAGGCTGATAATGATTTTCTCGATAGTAAGTCTGATCGGCTCCATAATGTCAAATTGGCGGCTCATGTCAAAAATGACCTTGAGTCTGTTGATAACTGGGGCAAAGGATGGCTTGTTAATTTTAACGCCTCCAAAACTAAGGTAAAATGAATCATCTGAGAGGCGCCTTTTTGCCTTCCATCAGCATAGTTAATGCTAACCTCCAGGAATGAATCGTTGCACCTTCTCGGGCTAACATTTTCGGATGACATGAAGTGGAAAGACTATGTTGAATCCATTACTGTGTTAGCTGTTAAGAAAGTTAGTTCACTCTGTTATGCTGGATATTTTTATCTCCAGAATCTATCTTATATATCAAATAAGTTTACCATTCGTCCATGCTTAGAATATTGCTGCCATATATGGTCCGGTGCTCCTATATATATATATATATATATATATATATATATATATATATATATATATATTTGAACAAATCAAGGAAGAATCAGCAATATCATTGGTCCTGATATTGCGTCTCACCGACGTAAAGTTGCCACCCTGTGTTTTTTATATAAATACTTTAATGGTAATTGTTCGGATGAACTTTCTGCTATGGTACCTAGACTTTATGAATATAAGCGCAGTACTAGACTGGTGACGAGGTCTCACCAATTTACAGTTGAGTTGGCAGCTAGATGTAACCGTAAGTTCTATGCTAACAGTTTCTTTTCTCGTACTTCTCGCTTCCAGCTCCATGTTTTTTAGCCAACATTAATCTTCAGAAATTTAAATGCAATGTCAATCGCTATCTAGTGTCCCCCTGATTGCTCTTCTTCTGTACTCGCTCCTTAGTAGTGTTTCTGTTTTCTAATTCTTGCACACCCAATAACCTTGCCCAATTTGACATTATCGAGCAGAGCGGGCTTGCTTGGGAGGAAGTTGATTAAAAATATAGTAAATCTCTTAGCACAAAATTTTAAAATCTTTTCATATGTGACATAATAAAATAGTTATTAAAAGAACAACCATCGTATGATATCATAGATAAAAAATAATTTAAAGAAAACAGTGTTTTTAATACGTATGAATATTGTCAGTGATTTTTTTATTTTTTTCCCTTTCCCAAGTAATTAATTAAACTTTAAGATCGATCTTGCAAAGTTAAACGGTTTTATTTGCATGACGCTCATTTAAAAACACCTTCTTGTGTATTCCACTTAATAAAATCTTGTAACTACGCAAAAGCAAAATGATTTTGTTGATTTGCTATGATTAATTCTTACCTGCCAATAGTAGATGATATGGGTGCCATCTCCACCAGTCCCACTACAGGCGTAGAGGACGATGTAACAAGCGCTACTGTAAAAGGTTCCAAATTCTTCTGATTTTACGACATGCATGTCTTTATCATAGATACGCCAAATCTGAAATAATTATAATGATAATAGGTCACATAAAATAGTGAATCCGTTTCTACAATAATCGTTTTTTTTTGTTTTTGTTTTTTTTTTAGCCGGTGGAAATAGCAATTTATGACGATTCTTTTCGTTAAATTTGATTTCCAGTAGACGTAAACATAGAATCAATGATTGAAAATTTTGAGGTAAAGGTAAGTTTTGAGAAGAGATATAATATCTGGACACTTTCTAATAAGATCTTAATACTTAATGAAACTGCTTCGTATTTTAATAATGTTGCATATTTAATATCTTAATAACGTTGACAGTTCAATAATAATGTTGATTGTGCAGATAATATAATGATTATCGTCGCGGAAATTAGAATCGGCAAGCCGAGTTTAAATTTTAGTCAGTTATGCTTAAGCACTAACCCTTTTGGGAAAAGCATGAATTTATCTATTTCTTCTTCAGCTATGGGGAAAATAGCAGGGTAGATTAAGCTTTGCTAGCAGCCACTCTAGAAGGAACAATACGACTTTAAAAACTCTGTAGAAAGCAATTTACAGATAATATGCAAAAAGAATCTGTGGAGAGCCATGATCTTTTACAATCTGAAGGGGCGTCGTATTTTAAAAATGTTGGTTACTTAACATCTTAATAGAGACCCTAATGTTGATTTGGGCAGTGATAAAAAAGAAGATTTTTTAATCACCGATAAACCACCACTTCCATCATCTGGTAATTGTTCTTCTTCGGAAAATGCTTTCTGTTTATGAAGGATTTTAGCGTCAAACATGGCACGGTTAGTTTCTATAAAATAAAACAATTGAGACATAAATATATAATAATAAAACAAAAACAGCTGCATAAATATACTTATCAACTGATTGGCGTAGAGTAAGCTGCTCAATGATATCATTGATAATTCAATGAAATCGAACCTCACTGTGTGTTCATTGTTGTCACCCAAAACTAAAATAGGTAAGCTTAGTAAATACATACTTACTATGTACATATATGAATATACATTATGGATGATAACCAATTGCAAATATATTTTCCATGTCTGCACACACACACACACACACACACACACACACACACACACACACACACACATGTCTTTCATTTAGAAAGACTTTGATCGAAATTTAAATATTTCAGCACGTCGCATATATATATATATATATATATATATATATATATATATATATATATATATATATATATATAAAGAAAAGAAGAGCAAGATATATAATCCGGTGTTCTTATAGATATTTTTTTATTTTTTACAAAATAGTGCTCAATGTAAATTTACAGAGCATTAATATTATAAATTGATTTATTTAAAATATGTTTTTTTTCGCTACACAGTTCTAACCATGTTTTAAAAATGGAAGCTAAAAGCTACGAATTTAATTTTGTAATTAAATTAAAGCCATTAGTTCCATTTCATCCTCAAGCGAATTTTGGAGTAACTTTTAAAATTACTGGGTTTTAAATACACAGCTAAAATCATAATTCACGTTTCCAAGGTTACAGATGAATCTACTTCAACTGGACAAGGGGTGTCTGGGTGTTCATTATGTCTGTATTATTGTATCCGTTATTACTTACGTTTTGGTAGGAGGTAGGGATGTATTTTTCAATGAAATCTGACATCCGTTGAATGCATGTCGTCTGGATTTTTTTTTAAATTGTTAACGGCAAAAATTCATACGGCATTTTTTCTATTTGTATATTTAAAGATTTTTGGGGGTGTTTAGGTTAGAATACGTTTCATTTAACTACGATTTGAAATATTTTATTTTTTAATTTTTATTATACTATATTTTTTAAGAACAATTAAATGTATTAGAATCCCTTATAGTATGTAGAATTATTTTTACATCAAGTATGTATATTAGGTTACAAAATTTTTTTTTTTTTGTATTTAAATATTATTTAAGTAAAATTTATGACAATGACGGCAAAAATAGTTACTATTTTCACTGATTTAGTAAACTTTTATTTTTTATATAAACCTAGTAATATATTGGTTCTCATGTAAGTACAAAGGACATGGGTCATTCAAAAGCTTACATCTGGCATTTCATATTAATTTTATTTTACTGTAGGTGTTTTATTGGATTCTTTTAAGTGCGTGTAGTACTAAGTAAAAGAAGTTTAGGTTAGAATTCATTTTATTTAACTACAATTTTAATTACAACTTTAAAATATTTTCATTGTTAGTTTTAATAGACTATATTACTTTATAATAGAAGGAAATGTATTAGAATTACTTATAGTAAGTAAAATTATTTTTCCATATCAAGTATATGTATATTACGATTTTTATATTTAAATATTATTTAAGTAATATTTATGGCAATTTACTGCAAAAAATAGCTAATTCATTTCTCTGATTTAGTAAACTTTATTTATTTATTTTTTATATATATATATAAACTTAGTAATATATAGTTTCATATGTATGTACAAAGGACATAGGTCATTCAATGGCCTACATCATCTAGCTTTTTCGTTATTCGTTATAATTTCATATATATATATATATATATATATATATATATATATATATAATATTTTATTAAGAGTTATTACAAAAAAAAACATGTTATAAACCGCTACATAAATGTTTCAGCACGATAGATACTTCTTCAGGCGGTAGTGGTTAATTGGAGAATAAACGATCATTTTATGGTTTAAAAGCAGCAATACCCTAACAGGGAGGGAAGAAGGGGAAAAACTAAATTTCAATCATGCTAGGGGCGGCCTAGATTAACCAATCAAATGTCGAACATGATAAGTCCGAAGTTTACTTCCGTATTGGATTCCTACTGATTTGTTTGAAATTTAGTTTCTTTCTCCATTCACCTCTCCCTGTTGGGGTATTGCTGTTTTTAAATCATAAAACGATCGTTTATTGTCCATTTGACTAGCATCGCCCGAAGAAACACATAGAGTGCAGAAACATGATTGTATTTATATAGCAGTTTATAACATGTTTTTCTTATAATTGCTAATAAAATACATTATTGAGCTCTAACATGTATTCAGCACTTTTTAAAATATAATGTTTGGGCATTGCAATTACACTCCATTGGAACCCAGCTTACACTTGGATATATAAATATATAGAGAGAGTGTTTGTGTGTGTGTGTGTGTGTGTGTGTATGTGTGTGTGTGTGTGTGTAGACGAAGCGCTACCTAAAATTTTGCCTGAAGAGCGAATTGCCTTCGCCAAAGAAAGAAAAAATGGATAGAAAATGAGGCTCTTTGATCTCTGGTCAAGTGATTTCGAGACATTCCCGCAATTCCAGGAATGATAATAGAAAAGTTGAATAAATTTACAGATGAACAGCTGCTCAAATTCTATTAATAGAATCTATTTTGTAAATGAAAATGTACAGTGGCCGGGAAACTGCAGGACCCACACGTAGCACGTGTACACAAAAGATCAAAAGAATACCAGGTTAGAAATGTTACTCTTTGGCTGGATGTATAAAATCTAAAGAAGGAAGGATAATAAGGGAAACTGTACTACGTAGACAGAAAACATACTTTGGAGAGAAATCTATTAAAATCTTGCTGGGACATGCAATTTGAGTTTAGGACAGCACCAACCAAAATGCAAAGAAATAAAGCAGCAGGACCAGACGAGATTATAATAGAATTATTGATAGACGCTAGGATTTTCACGAAATTACCGAAGCCATAAACGAAATATATTAATGCAGTGAAATATCAAAAACTCAATCCTCCAGGCTATAAAAGAAACCAGATAAAATGAAAATGAACTCCATAAAAATAGCTTGATGGCACACATAAAAATAGTAATTAGGATTCAATTAAATTCAATTAAACAGTGAATAGTATAAGAACAATGTAGCTTTGTTCGTGACACTGGAACAAGAGAAAGAATTTCCAATATCAAAATGCGATCAGAGAAAAGAGACATACCTGTACCAATGTCTTATATTTTACATAAAGGCATGTTAACGGAAAAGATATTCAAATAATCTATGACCTCTTCTTGCATGCGGCGAGATAATCTAAACTAGGTGGGCATGTTACGGATTATATGAAGTGAAAATTCGTGACCAGTGATTTCTGGGATACGTGTCCAGCACTTCAATGTTGGCGATGGAAGTATGGCGTCCACGCAGAGCCATTGTGGTTCCTCCTGTTCTCCGAGTCGCTTTTAAGAAACTGCTATCTCCGAGTAGCTATTTTTTCATTTCCTCTATCAGATTGGAAGCTATGTTAATGCCCTCAATAGAAAGAGAAACGAAAATGTTCACATTTGGCCTACACATAGAGCGTAACATTATATTTAGTTGTCTGCCTTTTATGACCCATTAAAGATGTGTTCTCAAATACCTGGCACACGCTCTATACAATAATGAGTATTTCAAAGAACAATCTAATGTTAGTTTATTGTGATATTCACATATGTCCTTAAAGTTAAAATTTCACAGTTTTATTTTGGATTAATCTACCAATTAAGTTACCTTCTTAACCATTAAATGTTCAAAATTGCACGAAATGCTATTTAATATTATTCTTAATGGTTTTATCTGAATTGTATTTATTTATTTTTTATATACTTTTTATCAGACGGGAATGCTCTTTATATATTTATAATAATGAAGCTGCCAAGTAAGCACTACTTATAAAAACAATACATTTTTTTTGCATATCTGAAGATTCATTTGATTTAAAAGACCTCATCACACAACTATACATGATATAAATGTCTGTTCGTCACTAATCCCATTTATTCTGAAATTATCTATGTACCCAGCAATTTACCTATTTATTTGCGCAGTAAATTTAATCACTCTGACGCATTTATCTGTACTCTCCTGTCTCATCTGAAGCCCGCCATTTCAATCTTACTTGACAGATAAGTCATTAGAGATTAAATCAATTGAGCGCTTTCTTATTAATTAAACGAAGAGGAAATATTTAGTACAACATCTCATTCGTCATGAGAATGGTTTTATTTCTTTTTTTTTATTGAAGAATAAGTCACTGCAGCCAGCATCACACGACATCTTCATGCTTGGAAGAAAATGGAAAATGGCAATGAAAATGTTGGGATCATTTTGATTGTTTCACTTAAATCTATCTATCTATCTATCTATCTATCTATCTATCTATCTATCTATCTATCTTAGTCTCAACATCTATCTATGTAAGTCAGTAACTAATTAAAATATTTATTTTTCAACATAATATCATTAATTATTAGTCTAATGAAATCATTAGGCAGAAAACTTGAATATTGTACAATTTTTGATCCCCATTCCCTCTCTCTCTTTTGTTCTCTCTCTCTCTCTGTATACATGTGTGTGTGTGTGTGTGAGTGTGTGTGTGTGTGTGTGTGTGTGTGTGTAAAGCTCAAAGTTTGCATGCGTGTTCAATCAAAAATGGAAGTGAATTAAATATAATGACTGATTTCTGTTTTTACGGTTGTCATTTGTATTAGTATGTACAAGAAGGTAGAAATCCTTAAAAAACATTTTTATCTAACTTTTCGGGGAGATTATTTAGGAACCTGCAAAGAAATATACTAAGAAAATTAATAATCTGCAAGACAAATATTAACAACATTACTTTCCAGAATCTGGGCGCTATTTTTGTCTTCTCCTGTATATAAAGTTGGTTGTCTTTATGTGTTCGTGTGTGTGAGGGAGGTAATTATGTCAAACCGCGACATCACATAAATGCAGTTTGTGAATTGTCCGCCCACCTATTCGAAAGGAATCTGGCAAAAGGCAGAGTTTAAAATGGGAATCCAACAT